ATCTGAAAGGTGATGCAGGAGCCTGAATTGTAATTCTTTTGCTCCTTTATACCTATCTCTGCCATGCAAAAACATTGACAAGCGACATTTGAAAGCCCTGTCGCTTTAAGTGTTCCACCTGGACCTTGGAACAGCCAGCAGAGCACGACCAGAGGATCTCAGACTGCGTCCTGGCTCATAGAGGGATAAAAACCTCAATACATCTAAGCAAGGAACCAGCCCATGTCTGAACCTTTAACGTGATTTAAATCATTTTTAAATCAATTCTGAAACAAACAGGCAGCCAGTAATGGGAGGTTAAAAAATATGTGTGATGTGGGCACATTCTGGTTAGAATTCAAGCTGATGCTTTAAAATATGTCTGGAGGTGTAAAATCTGCGTTTTTTTAAGGTGTATAGAGCGTCACAGTGGTGAAGGTGAGAGGGAAATAAAAGTGAGGATTGGATTTCACAGATCTCTGCCTGACATTAGAGACTTGATCTTGGCTTTATTTCTGAGCTGATAAAAACAGGACCAGATAACTGCCTTCACCTGCAGCTCAACACACAACTCAGAGAAAGACACAAGGTTGTTTTTTAATTTATTTACTTAAGTTAATTATTCCCTGAGGGGAAATTGGTCTATACATTCTGAAATACACACATGCAGAAATAGGACCTATGAACATGCATTAATGGAGAGATGTCAGAGAGAGGGGTTTCACATGTAGGAGTGCACGAGCATTCGGGGGTTTGGTGTTACAGGGCACCTCGGCAGTACTCAGGAAGCGTGACGTGGCACCTCTCCAGCAACCAGACAACCATACTTTGGTACATACGGCGACCCTCCTGGTTCCCAACCCAAGTCCCTACAGACTGAGCTACTGCCCCCCATGAGTGATCGCCGCTGTGGGCTTCACATAGTTTGTTAATTCACTCAGCTCTGGAATGAGTTTGTTTGAGTTTGTTTCATTTCATTGTAACTATGAGATTTTCTGAAATGTAAGCACTTTTTTCAGACTTAGGGGCCAGGAAGAGTTTTGTGTTTTAAATGTGGTTGTTTGTTTACCAATTATTTCACCTACATCTCCATCTGCTTGTATTGTGTAATGAAATGAAATGTGTATGTTGTCCTGATTGTTTGACAGATTGTGTCTCTGCAGAGGAGGACAAACAGGAAGCAAGACGTCAACAGAAACCATTAGAGCAGTCCATCCCGGAGTCTTCTCTGATGTAATCTCTGTGCCTCATTTCCAGCATGCATCAGTCATCATGACCGTGTTTGTCTTTCACCTGATTGATTGATTTGATTTTATCACTTGTGTCATGACATTTGCCAAGACAAATAACTGGCTTACAAGAAACCATTATTTAACAAACAAAAAGTGAACAGGAACCAAAGTCAAACATTTGTTACATCTAGATAAATCAGCCATATAAGAGGGTATAAGAACCACGTAGAAGTGGAGGATAAGTCTTGACAAAACAACACTATAATGAGAATATTTGCATACATCAATGCCACATGTAGTTCAATCAGACGTCAATATCAACAAAAGAGCGGAGAAGAGCATAGTGAGGACCAGAAATCGTAATGCCGCTGTTTAATCACCACCCCCTCCCACTCGCTCCAGGTGAATTTTCCGGAGAATATCCTGCTGCGTTCTCAAATCAGCTCACTTGCACTCTTTGCGGAGAAAATATTAAGGGGTCTGGCAGGAGAAACTCCAGGTGAAGTCTGTTTGCATTCACATAAACAGCTCCTCCTGGAAATATCAGGACTCTGTCAGGAGTTTTGTGCAAGTGTGAAAGGCCTACAAAAGAGGCAGAAAGGCATGAAAAAAACTGTGACGGTTGTAAAGTAAAGCCTTCAATTTCCCTTAAAAACGGTTCAGAGTTTAATCTCTTATAGCCTGGAGTTCTTTAGTTTTAATGCAGGATTAAAAAGGGCTGGGCCTCTGACTCTCTGTGAAATAGTTTGTATTCAATGGATTGATTTTTAAAACCAATGAAAACAGCATGATAGTAGAGTTAGGTACCAACAAATGCAAATGATGTTCATGAATTCATCATCGAAACAACACTCTGACATTAAGAATGTGAAACATGCTGTAACAGAATCAACATGATAAGGATGCTGACTTCAGCTTCAAACTGATACAGAAACTATTTAAACAATGCTTTAACCAGCGGATCAAACCTACCTGTGAAGTCTCAGCATCTATTCATAAAGACACAAATATGTTTGTAGGTCAACGTGGGGACCATCTGCATGCTGTAATATGATGAAATGCTCTTTACAGTAGCTTTATGGTCTTCCTCGGGGAGCAGTGACTGTCAGACAGAAGACAGGTGTTTTTAGTTGAATACATTTTAAGGCAGGTGAATTGGTTGTTTTTGTGTGTGAGTGTATGAGCTGTTTATTCAGGATTATGCTCGATGGTCAAGTCTCTTTTTCCATGAAGACTGTTTTGTGTCAGACGACAGTAAGCAGTGGAAACTTGTCTTGTCTCCAGCTTAACTTGAATCAGTGATGAATTAATGACGTTAACTCAACACCTGTGTGATATCTGAGCTGCTGCAGAGATGCACAGAGAGAAAGAGAGGGAGACAGAGGATTGGTGCAGTGACAAATTCTCTCCACTAGAGGGCCTAAGTTACAGCCTCAGTTGTGCTTAACAACACACACTGTAAAGATTGTTTTAGAATCTCTTAAAATAAGATGTTGATCTAATGAAAATAAAAGTAAAAAATGTTTGTGTTGCACTGGCAGATATTATTACTCAATACAAGCAAGCTAGGCCTTATTTTCTAAGGTGGAATGAGACCCATACACTTTGTTATATTGTAGTTTTTGAGCTGCAAAGTCTTTTGATAACAATTCACTGGATTTTCTTGACTATAATTTAAGCAATATAAATAATTTACGTTAAATGAGATACAGTCATGTCTTTGGCTTGTTTTACACTTTCTTGTTTGGTTCAGATCATTTCAGAGTAGTCTTCAAATTTACAGTTTTTTTGGGGGGGAAACATTTCATTACATTTAGGCTATCAAACCTTAGAAATTAAAATATTGATGTTATATAATATTTTCAAAACAAGAAAAATGGATTGAGGCTAAGGTCATGTTAGCTAAACCTTCACTTTGCTTTCTTAAAATATTTGATGAAGCCATCAGATTTAATCAAACTTTAAAAAAATCAACACTCAGATTTTATTCTGCTCAAAAGAAGGAACATTTCTGCCCCTGAGTTCATACACACGGCTCAGACTGAACTTAAGGAGGATGTCGTGGGAGCCTTGCCGCTCCTACCCCCTTTGACCAGCGTCCCATGAAGAGAAAATGTTGCTCCTGTTGAGCTGCTTGTGTTGGGGATTGAAGCCTGAAAAACAAGTCAGGACCAGGAGTTAAGATCAGTGAACCGGTCATACAGCAGCATAGTATCCGAGTATCAGCTGCTGCTGTTCAGACCAGGTTCTCGGGAAAACCAGTTTCTAGAGTGGGGGAAGAAGGATTTAATGTATTTGAGATCTGTTAAACTTTATCAATTTGTGTATAAACAATCATAGAAGAATTAGCATTTGTATCTGTATCCAGTAGTGTTGTAGTCAAGACCGAGACAAGACCAAGACCAAGACCAAGAGAAAAGCAGGGCGAGACCTAGACCAAGACCAAGACATTTAGGGAATGAGAACAAAACCAAGGCAGGGTGAGGCCAAGACCAGGACTAAGGCATGGCAAGACAGATTCAGGACCAAGACCATAAATATCAATTAAAAAAATGATCATCCAGTGTGCAAGGGGGTGGCCACTCATTTAGACCGTTTAACACCAAGACCGATTTCGAGTACTTCAATACCTGTGGCTTGTTACCGCCTGATTTCCAACTACATCCACAGCTCTGTTTCTCACAAAATATAACTTTAAGCAAACATTTAACAGATGGCTTTCAGCTTTTGGAGTAAAAAATTAAATGTGGAATGGTTAAACCTTCTCCATGTGCAGGTCAGTGAGTTGGACTTTGCAGTCCCTCACCAACATTGGAGCTGAACGACTTTGTTCCGTCCTGCAGAATCTTTCAGGCTGAATGACTCTTTAAACTGTGTGTAAACACGCTCAGCTGATACAGAAGTCCCCCCCCACCCCCCACCCCCACACACAGGTAGAAAACACTCCATCAAACAGACAGGGAACAGCTCTGTGGTGTGCAGCAGAGTCCTGATAGTGATGCCTTGTTTCACCCTGATTCTTCTCCCATGTAATGTTTGACAGCTGTAATGGGCTTATTTATGTGCATAAGGCAAATCTGAGTCTGCTGTTATTTCTCCCCCTGTGGTACAAGAGTTAGAGTTGATGTGAGGTCGGTGCGTGAAACGACCGTGTTGACGTTATCTGCTTATCTGCCGGCTTTGACCCGACAGGAGCAAGGCCATGGCTGGATGCGCCTCCCTTATCTCCATATCTGAGTCTACAGGGCCAACCAAGGCCTGCTGCGGCCAAGCTTTTCTGCACCGCCATGCCTGCGGGTTTCAGGTGGGCTTTTTGTTCCCTGTGCAGGCAGAATGCAGGCTGTGGGCTGAGAAACAATACTGCGTGCAGAGAGCAGGGAAGAAACTGCACGTAGCAATCTTCACACAAGAGAATTCTCCGAAACCTGTTTCCACGCAAGTACGGCTCTCTACCTCTCTAAAGACTAAAAGGAAAAACTTAAAGGGAGCTCATGTAGTTCTGCCAAGTCAAATAAACACCATCAAACCCAGAATGCATTTTGTGCAACAAGCTGAGTCATGGTCATTGTTGTTGGGAAGTTTTAAAATCCGTAATCATCTCCAAATCTACAAAATGAGAGGAAAACCCAAAAATTAAGTAATACAAGTTAAAAAAAAAAAAAAAAAAAAAAAAATAGTATTGAGCTGTTGCATCATCAGAAATGAAATAAATCACTTGTTAACCACCCCTCCACAATCAATGCCAAATGCTTGAATCAAACCAGTGAGGTCCGCAGGTCCAAGGTTGATGTGATAATAAACGTGTTGCACAGTCTGTCCTGACGCTCTGCAGGGACACACTGAGACGAGAGGATCACAGAGGTAGGTCTCTGTTTGAGCCTCTTATTACTCCACAGGTAGACACAATGTTTGTGATATCACAAAGGACTGATGAAGCAGAAGATTTTATGGGTGCAACACAAAACTGGGAAATGCAACATGCCTTTTATGTTATGCCTTTATTTTAGAGACATGACAGGGAATAGAGTCAAAAACCAGGGAGAGAGAGGGAGAGAGAGAGAGCGAGGGGAATGACATGTAGGAAAGGAGCCACAGGTTGGACTTCAACCTGGGCTGCCCGCTCTCAGGGACTTAAGCCGCTGTACATGGGGCGCGCACTAACCGCTAGGCTCCTGTCTCTCAATATAATTCTTAATGACTTTCTTTAAAGGCATTTTTTTACTACCTGTTTGTAAATCTAATTGATTGCACACACTCCTCACACTGCTGTAACTGTTGTGTGTTGAATTTTGCTCTCTTATTATTTCCTTGTGTTTGATGAGAAGGTTGATGAAAAAGGGTTCTTTAGAAGGAAAACAGTTGTCATAAAAACAACAAAAAGGTGAAGAGCATTCCTCCGCTTTAAAAAAAAAAAAAACGTTCATCTAAAAATGTCACCTCAAAGGCTCTTAATACCAGACTACAAGATCATGAACAAGCAGCACATTCCTGCGCATTTAAACCTGATCCTACTCAACAATACTTCCTTAAATGAACCACGAAAATACAGCTTTGTTTGGACTCTGATACATGCATTTTGTCACAAAACAGTAATATAATCTGTGTTCGGCAGGCAGGGGTGTCGTAGTGGGGGGAAAAGTGAGACTGACTACCCAGGGCCCTAGTGGGGAAGGGGGCCCTTCATGAGCCTGAAATAAAAATGTATTTCTTATTTTGCTTTTTTCTCTAAGTTATAACTGCAATAAGATAATTAGAATTGTCTGAATAAATAAACAAACATTCAGAATTCCTTTCTAGAAAAAATGTGAAATCTCTCTAAAAGGCCCTCTCCCCCCCTTCTGAATGCGCAGAATGGTTTAGTCCTCCCACCACCTCTCGACTGGATTGCTCCTGCAGGCTGCAGATTAAACCAGTTGTTAGAGGAATTCAGCCCAAAATATAGTTTGGATCATGTCTGTGTTTTATGTATAAATATATTTTATTAATCCCCTTCATAGATACGATTTCATACGACCCTATTTTATAAAAATATTACATCGCGGTCAAAAAGAGTCCTCTTTGGAGCTATATTTAGCGTCTTTCCCAGCGAGCTACAGTAACATATTTGACATCAACAGATTCAGTGTAGTTCAATGTTGTCACGCTAGCATTAAAACTGAGTCCACTACTTCTGCCCAAAAAACAACATTTTGAACATCAGGTGAGACAAATTATAATGCAGTGTAAGAAGAATTAAAGTGAAGTCAGAACAGAGAAGAACTATTACAGCCTAATTTCATGCTGACAAGTGTGGCAGAATCTAATTCAGATGTATTGTATGTTTACAGTTTATCATTAATGCCAGTAGAATTTTTTAATTCAATAATCTTACCAATAAGATCACTTTATACAATAAAAGCCTTTGGGTCATTAACTATAGCCAGTTGATAAGTAAAATAATGTTGCTGGAAATGTTTCAAATGTCTGAAAGGTGCAAATATTACAAAGTTATAATTATGTTTAAACTATGAGGCTATATTACAGTGATTATTTATCTTCCATTTTCAGGGTGTAAAACATGGCATAGTTGTTTAAAGTTTTTATTGGTCATTTGTGTGATGGAGGTGTTGTTGTAGAAATTCTCTGGGGTTAGTTTGGGCCGTGGTAGGGGCCCTATGTGAGATCTTTTCGTGGGGCCCGGAGTTCCTGGCGACGCCCCTGTCGGCAGGCAGGTAACCTCAAGGTGGTAATTCTGGTTTGACAAGCTTGGATGGAGAGGGGTAGTAATTTACTCCACACATATTCTGAGGCAGCATTAACAGGATACACTTAGGTCAATACACTGGTTTTAATCGTTAAATAATTTTACCAAGTGGTTTGTTTAATTCATTGTAGGTGTGTGTTTGTGTGAAGCGAAGCCCGGAACCTTTGATTCCGGCCTCTCTGAGTCTACACGGACTGTTTAGACGGGCACACGGGCGAACTGTCAAGGCTACTGCCGTGCCTGAGCCTCCTTCCCTGTCCAGTAAGGTCTCTTTTACCGTCACTTTAGTACATTTTTCTATACAAAAAATGCTTATTTTCCGGTTTATTGTTATTCTGTGTGTGTGATATTTGAACAGCTCGTTTTCTGTGTTAGCAAACAACAACTTCCTGCTGTTAGCTAGCAGCAGGACTTAATAAATACTAATGTTAAAAACGAACAGATAATAATAATGATGAGGGATGCTCCAGACATGACTTATTCTGTGTGTCAATGTTTGATGTTGTTCTCTTTTTGATAAGGAGATCACTGAGTGGTTAGCTGTGTTGATCCCATTATCTAAGCTTGTTTACTCTGTCATAGCTCTCAGACTACCTGCAGGTTTCTACCTTTACATGTGTCTGTCTGCACTGTAGCGTTTACTGAAGGAACAGGGACTTTGACCACTGACGCAAGACGAAGCTACATGCTGAGTATTAAAGTTTTACTTCACCTCCTTCTGTTTTTATTAATGACAAGAGGCACATTTTGAGGACACACAGGGATCAGGATTACTCAACTTGATTAAGAGACTAATGTCTCATAATAAGAGAAGACACATCTTGTCTGTCCTTGTGCTTCACACTGAGGTTTTATATTGTAAAAGCTGTGTAACACCTCCAGGTAGTTAGTGATAGAAACAGTCGGTAACTGTGAGTTTCTGCACTCCAGTCAGTCGTAGATCATTTCAGACCCCTGTGTTAAAGGTGTAAGCTTACTATCTGATAGAGATGTTATGCTGCAGAAAAAAGAGAAAGGTCCACACACTGTTAAGCTCCCAATGAGCAACTTTATTCTCAGATCTTCCTCAGGCCAGCGGGCGTTTTTTCCAGCTGCCATGCTGCCAATTTTCCTTCTCATAATCAGGATTTAATGTCATTTACATGTACGCATGTCACAACTTCATGACAGCACTTTTATGATCAGTGTCTTGCTATAGCAGTTTTTTTTTATTAATGCTTAAAAAACAATCAAGCATCATCATAGAAGTTACTGTGTGTGGATCTGTGAGATTGAAATTTGTTATTTTATGACATTTTTTGTAATGAGTTTTGGACTGTATCGCAAATCTTTTCAAACTATGCTGCAAAAACGTTGGTCCATTAGCACTTTTTTCAGAGCACTTTAATTTCTGTCAGGACCCAAAGACAACTTCAACCAAAATCTTAAAAAGTGTATCCGGAGAAAATGGCTGCCTTTGAATTGCTAAAATAACTTTAGTTCCATTTTGTGCACTTACAAAAACATGTTTTTATTATGTAATGTTAGAAGGAGTTCCCTGAAAAGAGTTTCTTCAAACGTGTGGTTTCTGTCTGTTTTCTGCAGGCCTGCAGGATGGCCCAGGCAGACAGCAAGGTGCTGGTTCTGGGAGCTCTGGCTGGAGTGGCTGGTGTCAGTCTGGCTGTGGTGTGCTACAGGGGCTTTAGTTCAAAACGAAGAAGCTCCTGGCCGGGATTCTACCTCAGCAGCAAAAATGAACAAGGAACTGGCCTCATGGTGGTGGATGGCCCAGGTATGCCCAGGGGTCAGGTTGAGGTGCTGGAGCGCCTCGAGGCCCTGATCCAGTGTGTGTCCGAACTGAAAGAGGAGATGAAGTCATTGAAGAACGCTCTACCGACCCTGCCGGACCAAGTCAGGGAGGAGTTGAGGGGGCGAGATCAAGGGAGGCGAGCTAGCCCCCTCCAAAGGACCACGCCGACACGAAGGAAAAGGGCTGCAGGCAGCATCACCGCGGCCAGAGCAGGGGGGCGGAGCTCAGAGGAGGCAGAGAGTGAGGGAGGGTAAGTACTATAAGAACCTGTAGATTTCTCTTAAATATCATATATCATTGTGTGTGTGTGTGTGTGTGTGTGTGTGTGTGTGTGTGTGTGTGTGTGTGTGTGTGTGTGTGTGTGTGTGTGTGTGTGTGTGTGTGTGTGTGTGTGTGTGTGTGTGTGTGTGTGTGTGTGTGTGTGTGTGTGTGTGTGTGTGTGTGTGTGTGTGTGTGTGTGTGTGTGTGTGTGTGTGTGAGAAAGGCATTGTGAATATCACCCGTTGCGTCAGGGCCAACCATCTGTGAGAAAAGCATTTTGACTTTTATCATCTACTTTTTTGGGAGCCACCATTGATTATAAGGATGTCATAGGGTGGGGCTTGGTTAGAAGTAGCATCATCTGTGTCACTCTAGATGGGACCATTGTTCACTGAACGAGCATCATGCTGTATTAAAATGACTTGAAATGAGTGATTAAGACGGGAAAATGTTTATTAAGAAATCACCTCCTAATGGACTAAAACACAGTCTGGCTCCTTTTTACAGCCTGTGTTAAGTGCCCCCTGTTGGCCAATATAACGAGTGCTGGAAAGGCAGTTCCACATTTGTTTCACTGAAGCCAAGAGGCTCTCTGTATGCAGTCTATGGTCCGTCCTTACTTAATAATAAACCAGAGTACATACAAGTGGAATACAAAGGAGTGAAGTTAACTATACAGGACAATTAAGACATTCTGTTCAGTGAGTGGCAAGTTAGCGTAACAAGTGATGAATTAAAGTGACTTGCTATGATTAATAGCAGCAAGTTATGTAGTGTGTAAACAAATGACTTACAGTTTCATATTTATTAGGTATAATATAGCAAAAGGTGCATTTAAGAGGAATTTAGATACAAGGAGATATGCAGCTCAGGTCTGTGTTGTGCATTGGTGGAATGAGGCGTTGGCTGAAAGAGCTGCCCATCTGCTAGAGCTCATCATGGAAACGACAGACAATTATCAGAAATATAGTCGTTAACAAACCTGAGTGAGCATTGAGGTCAGCCTTTGGAGGTCGGCTTTGGATAGAAAATATTTAGCATTTGCAATATTCCTCAATTGGGGGAAAATATGAATCTGAGTTATTTACATGTTAAAGCAAAGTTCAGAGTCAAGGATCACAGAAATGTCATGCAGAATGGGTGGACATGTTAAGATTATATCTCAGTCACAAATCAGGTGACCAAAAGAAAGTGCAGTTTAAAGCATAATATTGACATGGGAGGGGAAAAAAAGTCAAAATTGAATGGTGAATATGCAACATTAGATGTAGTATTATTAGTTATGTATCTGAACTTTTTAAGGGCCTGTCACACATTAAATTGATATACTTGCAGTGTTTGTTGTATTCCAGTGAATACAGCTTTTGCTGCTTGTGATAATGTAGAGCTGGTGTCATCAGTACATAGTTTGTCCAGCAGACTCCACTGTTTGCAACACTTTTAGCTGCTGCTCATGAGCTGACATGGACGCACGGCTGACAGAAGGTTTTTAAACACCTGTACATCTCTGCCTCTGCTACGGAACTGATCATGTTCATATTGATATTCAGAAGCTTTTCTAGTTCAGCCGCTGACTTTCACCAGGCTCATTTCATAATCTAAAAAAAAAAATCCATCAGAAAAAAGTATAATTGATTAGCTCCAGCCTAACAGGTGGCAAAGTGTGAATTGATGCCAGGTTAATTGCCACTTTATCATCTTATCTGCTGATCTTTACGCGGATCAAACATTTTCACGGCCCTCCCACTTCACCAGTTCGACTCGCTCGCTCCTTCTCTGTGCTAAATCGTACAGATGACAGTATGTACATTGGCCCGAGGCGCTGCACAGAACAGCAGACTAATCAAGCAGCACATGCCCAGTCATCCACCTCCAACCTCAGCCAAATGCCTTGAACATGTGCCAGCCCCAGATAACATAAACAACAGATGTGTGTCTTTTCAATAGACTATCATTCTGAATGTCTTCTCATGAACACAAACATCAATCTTTAAATGATGATGATTAAGCTGAGGCTTTTCTCCAGCCAGGCGGGCAAGTTGATGTTTTTGAGGAAATTAGTCGATGTGTTCTGAACGCGTTGTTTGGAAACCATTGGAAATGAGAAGTGGCAGAGATGGTGTCGTACATGCAGATCTTTGCATCTGGTCGTCACTGTAGAACTTAAACTGGCATGACCTGTGAACTATTCTGTAGGAAGTGAAGTTTGCAAAGTGCCAAGAAGTCAAGCCTCTGTCAAATCCTAACCACACACTTTAAGGTGTTTAGTTAGATCAGAGGTGTGCAGCTCCTCCCTGCTTCTGTTACTGTCCTCACAATGATTAATCAGCTGCCTCGGAGCCTTTTTTTTGTTTTTACAACTACAATGACACAAAGTAGGCCAACTGAACATGCAGTGCACCCTGGGTAATACATGTTAACTGTCTGTGTCCTCTAAGAATCACATTCCATGCCATGGTTGGGTCTTGTTTTTTCCCCTGTTGTTTATGTTTATACAACATCAGTTATATAACGTTTAACATCATTTACATAACTGCGATGTATTGGAGAGCATCAGAGCCGGGCAGAAGGAAATAAATCGTATATAAAATGTTTTGAATTTAAGTTGCATATGAGAGTTAAGTTGAAATGTTGAACCTGAGACTCAGAAAACAATCTCATTGATTTTCTTTCACCTGGCTGTTTTGATGCTTTGATGCTTCATACTTTTTACTTGTTAAACTGGCGCTGTAATCCTGAAACATGCAGGACTTTTTACTGAGTGACATGTATTTGTACAATTTAGACATTGTCACCTCCTCTGCTCTCTGTCTCTTTTTACGAGAGATAAGCATGTCTTTTGTGTCTTTATGAAACCCCAAATTAGGTTTTGGCGAAATTACAAAAAATGTTATCGTGATAAAAATGTTCATATCAGTCGATATCCATAAATTTCAAATCATTCTTTCTTTCAGATTGAAAGTCTGAATGAAAGTTGAAGAAAACTGATGGTTAATTGTGATTTAATTATTCTTTATTATCAGAACATGACAAACTCTACTTGAACAGAGGATAATGTCACAATCATTAGCACAGTGCACAGAGCTGAAAAACGCTGAGGTCTACCCCACATGAACTTGAAAGCATCAGTATTTGCTGACCTGTAAATTTCAGGATAAGGATGAACTTTATTTTCCTCTGAGGGTTATTTCTACAACTTTCTATTTGTCTTTGACAACAGTGCCACGTATAGTTTAAATCATAAACAAAAGTGATTTCAGCAGCAGCACCATAGTCTGACGCCCACTGAGCAGCACCACCAGAAGTGTTTGAACAACCATCACTTCTCTCTCTCTCACTTGAGACTTGTGGCAACTTTGGGTTAAAATGAGGCTGATGACCTGCAGTTTTTATTTTAAGCTTTTGAAAAGAAATCTGAGAAGACATCGTTTGAAGACATGTGGAATCAAGAAGTATCAAAGTATTAAAAACTTTGACTACTTCAGTATTATTTACACAGAGCCCAAGAAGTTATTTCTATATAAAGCTGAACAATTTGAAAGCCTGCAGGCATACAGGCCCAGCATAAAGAGTGCAGAGATGTTTGAGATTGCTTCAGCCAGTATTGAGTTAAAGCACAATGGGATACAGTATTGAGCTTTCTTTAGGTACTGGAAGCAGGCATTCCTAGTTTGTTATTATCCATTGTAGGTAAAAAAATACAGTCATTGATAGTTTCCCCGCATGGAGGAGGAGACAAACTTATACATTGTCAAGATTCTAGTGAACAGGGGCCCTTTCCGAATAGCCACAGTTCAGTATGCAGTACGTACTTTTCAGTATGGAGTTTCAGTATACTGAACTTTCGTGGTCATTCAGTATACATTTTTTGGTATACTGAACATTTCAGTATGGATACTAACTTCCGGGTTTCATGCAGTATGGATCGGATGCGTGCTTTCAGGAAATGAATTGTATTTTACCACCCACAATGCTATGCGAAATTAAACGTAAATCGTCACTTCCGCCTCCAAATCAAAACAAACGAGCGTGGATTAATTGAATCAGTTTTAAATCTAGAGTTAAAGTCCCGACTGAAATCACTACTTTTAATTAACAATAGAAAATATAACAAATATCTGTATAATTATAAAACCTTTCCCCCTCTATTTAAATAATTTTATATATTACTGTCTTTCATTTGTACTTTTCTTCATGTACTGTATGTTATTTAGTTATTTAATCTGCCTTTTACTTGATTTACATTGTGATATTGTTTTTTCTTTACCTGACTGTATATGCGCATTACTCTTCTTGAATAAAGCTTTCCGGTTCGGGAAACGTAAGTGACGTCACTTCCTTACTGAATGAATCAGACGAAGTATGCACAAATATCTGCCTACTGTGCGTGCATACTGAATAGTAGGTACTAAACAGTATACAGCACGGATAGTAGGTACTGCCTACTGAAAGATTGAGTAGGTACTTGGCAATTCGGATACAGCCATGGTCTGCTTCATGTGCTGCAGACCGTGCACGGTGGTGATGATGAACTTGGAGCGCGCTCTGCTGGACAAACACGAGACTGTCACGACTATATGTTCCACTCAAGCATTGTTTTCTGTGATTTATGTTCTGCAAAACTGATCAATTATCAGTGCATATTCAAACATATACACCAACATATCTTGTATGTTAGTTAGCAGATGAACCAGGCGGGCTCTATAACTCAGCCCTACGTGTTCACTTTGCCCCCCTCGTTAACTTCAGTAGCAGATGGTAGTGTTAGACTACCCTCTAGCAGGTACAGTTCACAGATTTTGAGTGGCAGTTGTCGGCCGCATTAAATGCTCTTAATTACAGCCCGGGTTATTATGCTTTAAAAGAAATCACATCATGCACACACCTCCCATAATTAGAGAGCCTTTCCTGCCGCTCTGTTATTTGTATGAGCAGAGGGTGTGGGGGTTAGTGGGGATGGTGCAGTGAAGAAACTTCAGCCCCTCAGGG